AATAAAAATACTAAATTAAAAATGGCATAATTTTGTAGGTTAATTGCTACTGATTTAATGATACAGCTCAATAGTTGAATCGTATTTAACTATTTAATATTGTTAAATATGTATTAACTTTTATAGTAAATTTTACATACAAAATCATCAAGAATTAAATATTAAATAATTATAAATAGTCAAAACATTGAATAAATTTATATGCATCTAATATATTTAAATAGTGCTTATATTTATAATTTATATATTATTTTGTTTTAAAGAAAAAGAGCCGGATTTCCAAATTGTGGTTTAATTGCAAATTAGCATAATATTTTAGCTTATTTTGGCTTGTGGCTTTTACAAATTATCAAATTTAGACACATGCATGCATGCTCTAATCAAAGTACAAATTTAATGCTTTTATTTGAGTACGTAGCTGATTTCACACTAGTTTTGTGTCTAAATGAATTATCTTTATGTAATAAATGAACGTGTGTTTAGATAAATATATATATATATATATATATATATATATAATTATCGGCAAGCTTCATTTATTTTATTCAGCTTTAATTAATAATAATATGAGTTCATTTAATAAAAATAGGTTGCATTTAATAATAATTTTTATGACCTCCATCAAAAAACCGTTACAACATATTTTTGTTTATTTTAATTTATTCCATACAATCATACACCTATTTTTTTTACTATTTTGGATTTGTAACGGTTGCATGCGTTTACCATTTTTTATTTCTCTATATTTGGAGAATGTAACCGTTGCATGGTTACGACATAATGTTTAAACCGTTAAATTAATATTTTTTTAATTTATATGTTGACTATTCAGATGCAGAAGAAATATTAAGTATTGATATGATATAGGTACAACGCAAAATATATATAAGAAAAGTCATCTTTTGTAATAGAGCTATTTACACCAGCTCATTCAAATTCAAATTTTTCATGCAAATTTGTACACTATATTATTTGAATTTAGTGAAAAATAATTATTCATTTTATTTTATATGATAAATATAGTGATGAATTTGGATACTTTTATGATGTTCATTTTTACTAAAGACAAAATTTTTAAAACGTGATATTATTATTTAACTTATAATTTTATAATTATACACATACAAGTAACTTATAAGTTATAATAATTTAAATTTCTGTGCATGTGCACGGGATCAAATACTAGTGAATTATTAATGTCACAACTAATATAGGTTTTGAAATTAAATAATTCGGATAATTAATAATACTTCACATATGATATTCTTATAAAATTAAAAAGAAAAATCTCGAGGAGATTTTGTTTGAAAGGCAAAAGAGCATACTGGATATCTATAATGTTGAAACTTATCCTAATTGCAATTATAGCAAATCATAATATGCGATGTTATCTAATTAATTTATATCGACCTCATAAAACATTAATGTACGTCGCTCTCATGAACACTAGATAAATTAGAAAAATATGCTAATGAATTTCAATTTGTTACAACTCTTAATTTATTCTAAGAAAAATATTATTTAATTATTCTCGCACTTATTAGTGATTATAATTAATTAATCAGCACGTCCACTGTGCATGACTAGACAACAAAGTCATATAAACTAAAAAATATAGGCACTAATTAATATATATCTTTAATTTCTCATGAAATAAATTATAAACTGAATGTTCAAGTATTTCAACTATACAATTATTAAACGAATCGGGCCGTACGATAACTCGACTTATTAAGACTCGAATCTGCCGAACTCAGTAATTCTAAAAAATAGAATTTTTTACATAACTTTCTAAATTATTATATTAACTCATATTTATTAAGAATCGATTTCACATAATAATTTTGAAAAACGATTGAGATTCGAGACTCAAATCTCAATTGATGGGGTAAAAATATTGAAAGAGCTGCTCTTGCCCGTTCATAGAAGCAACGGACATGCAAAAGCAAACAGTTGAGGCAAAATGACTAATTCTCTGCTTTTATAAGGGCCTCAACTGAAATTTCATGTAATTCTCGTGATTCTGGGCCTCACAAACGATTTTTGTGGACCCGATTTTATTATCAACATGTTGTCCGGTTTCTCCTTTACCGACTTCTAGTTTCAAAAGCGGGGCCCACTTTTCCGCGATTTAGGTGATGACAAGGTGCTTTGGTGCATGCACTTTGTATATTTTGTTTTTTTTTTCTTCAATGAATTTTTTCAGAAGCAATTTTTTATTTTTTTGTCAATTACATTAATATTCTCATCAAGGACTATTTGGTATATAAAACTATATATATATATATAAGAAATGAAAAGTAATGAGAAACTAATGGACATTGGCTTCTTCCTGAGGGAGTAAATTATAAATTTATTGTGCAGCTAAATTGTGGTTCAAAGGAAATCATAATTTGCAGACAAGTCCCCGTACTTAGAGAAATTTCATGATTTTATAACCCTTTAAGTTTTACGGTTTTGCTATGGAGCCAACAGTTGATTCCATAGTAGAGCCAACCTTTTATATACAACAAATAAATACTAATAATTTTATTAATATGGTATGATTTATTTGTTGTATATAGAAAGTTAACTAACCGTCGAATTTATAGCAAAACAATATTTCTTATAAAGTCATATTATCCTTTTAATGGCTAATGCTTTACTTGATTACAATGTATACGTGCTATGACACATGTTTTTATTCTTTTAAACAATTATACCTTGATAACTGATTATGGCTTTGGTTAATGAGATTGAGCCCAACTTTTCAAGAAAGAAGGATAGAAAAATCTTTCAAATGATTTGAATTTAGACTATTTTGTTCAATTTCACCAACCCTCACAAATTTACTATAGTCGTTGATGTAATTATGTAAAACTTCTAAGTTCTAACACCTCTAATTGTAATTTGCTTCCTTNTGATTGACCAATGTTTGACTTGATCATGACCATTGGTATGATGTATCCAATGGTCCAGGTTCATTCTTATTTCTTTCACTATCTACCATTCTCACTTGATCCCAACTCTCTATATATATATATATATATATATATATATATATTTATTTATTTATTTAAAGACTGACATATATTTTCTTTAAGAAAATGTAGTAAATTACTAATCAAAAGTCCAACAAAATTAAAAGAAAATGGTTGGCTGCCTAATTATGGCGAATTTTACCTTAGTCTAAAGTTAGATGTCGTGGAATAAATTCATTTCATATGTTTTTAACTTTAAACTATAGATGATTTTGATCTGTGTACCAAGCTGTAGTAAGAAAGTGCCTGACTAACAACTTCTCAACATTAGTCACCTATCTTTGTCAATGCATGCCCGATTATTCTCCCACGCGACTATCACACACTACAAAAAATTACCTATTATTCCAACTATAAGACACTACAATAAAAATTATAATGGATAGATTATTGCTATAGTTTTTGCTGAAAAATTTCAATATATATTTCAATGAAGCTTAACTCTAAAATCATTTGCTGAAATTTTAGTTGATGACAATTTCAGATGGTTTATTGTTATAGTAATTTCCGTTGAGCCCTTTTTTTGTTCAACTATATTACAACAATTGGTGTCGTCAAAATTTGACGAAAATCCAACATAATATTTTAGTTGAAATTTTCATTGGAATTCGTTGAAAGATTCTAATGAAAGTAAAAGCAGTGGAATATCATTTTTTTTTTTTTTTGGANGGGATCATGCATGTACATATATATATATATATATACACTTAAAATAATTTTCATTAGATATACGATTAAAATTAAAAGTGAACAATATTTATAGTGTTAGTCTAAGTAATTAAAATATATAGCATAATCACATCAAATAAAATTATCGTATTATCTTAAATTTAAATAACTAGCTCATAAATATCAACGACGATGGATTTTATTTTAATAAAATTAAATAGTTCCTTGAAATTTGAAAAATAATTGTTCAACAAGTTAAATTTATTCCTAAAAAATATTTTTTTCTCTTTTTAATTTTTATTTTCTTGTTTTCATAATGAAGTGTCATTGATTTTTTTTAAGCCTAGTCCTAAATTTAAATAAATAAAATATATTTTAGTTGAATATATTTCAAAAAAAATATTAGTTGCAAAAGCACTTGAAAAATAATAATTTTTATTGCAATTTTTTATTTAATATCTGCTACAATTTTAGCCCAAATTAGTTATAAATCTTGGCTCCGCTCCTGATGATTGTGATATACACTCCTATTAGAGTGATTTTTTTCTTAACAGAAAATAATACAATAAAAGAATTAATTATTGTTCTAATATGATTGATGTGATATAAACAAATTAGAAGATAGAATAAATGCATTGTTTTAGAAAGTTCAATATAAGTATAATATACAATAAAAAAATCTAGAGATATATGGAAGAAAAAAAAATTGTAAAATTTATCAAAAGAAACGTATAGATGTCAAACATATTTATTTACATATTATCCCTTTTAAAATTAACGAAACCTAGTCCATGCAAATATATATATTATATACCACAAATGTTGAATTAGTTTGTTTTATCAAAGACAATATTTTTTTTTTTAAATAACACATACTTATATTATAAAATTTATAGTTTATTTATATGTTTTTTAGAATATAAAAATTAAGTAATAGATATGCTCAAATTCAAAGTAACTTTTTAGTTCTTACATTGTAGTAAATATTTGTGGGCCATTTAATAACTATAAATGAACAAAACTCATATATGCGATCCATTAAGCACAAGCCCATCATGATGACAGAGGGTATTTCTGTCCAGACACTGAAATGGTAATTTCCTCCTCTCGTAAGGGTTATAAAAGTCAATTAAGGTTGCCGCCTCGTTCCTGCCTATTTCTCTCACCTGCCTCTGTAAGTCTGTATAAAAAAAGCTGCCCATACTCCATTAAAAGTCCATCGTTTTTTTCTCATTTTCCCCCATAAAATTGCGTTTGTTTCGAAAATCAAGGAGTTTGCTGATAACGAAGGAAGAGAAAGCTCTAGTTGATATGTGTGGTGGTGCTATAATATCCGATTTCATACCTCCGGCGAGCCGGTCGTCTCGCCGGCTGACGGCGGAGCTGCTCTGGGGCGGCGGATATGCCGGTCCGATCAAGAAGAAGAATCCGGGGAGCTATCACTCCAAGCCTCGGAGATCTGAGCTGGTCATCGATCTGGACGATGATTTTGAGGCCGATTTTCAGGATTTCGAGGATTTCTCCGACGGCGAAGGCGAGGTTGGTGAGGAGAAGCCGTTCACGTTCTCTGGTTCGAAGAGCTCTGGTGTTAAAGGTAATGCTTTTTTTTTTTTGTCTGGAATTAAATTTATTTCATTTAACGGTGAAGTTTGCTATTGAGTTCATACCATACGCGTGAAATATGTTTTTCTATTGCTTGACTATTTTGAGTGTAAATAATGTAATGAAGTTTTGCTCTTGGCTAGTTTGGTAGTTCATCTTCTTTGATTGAATGTAATATAGCGCGTTTTCATGTTTTTAGCTGTTGCTTGTACGTTCGTTTGTTTGATGAATTCTGATTGAAGAAAAGTTTTTTGGATTAACGATGGATATGAAGATTGAAGCTTTCTGTGTTATTTGAATCTGATAAATGGTTAATTTGTGGTTATGTAATTGAAATATTACTAATCTAGTTTTTTTTTATTATTATTATTATTTCACCGTATGTGATAATTTTATTTCCGTTAATGTTTTATATGTGTTCTGAAATTGTAGGCTTATTCCTTGTTAGCTTCCTTTTAAGTTTTAATCATCAGTACTTGGATTGATTTTCCTATCTTCTTCAGTAAGAAAGTTTGCTAATATTATCAAAAAGAGAGGAATACTGGAAAGAAAATTCTGAATAATTTGAAGTTGCAGACAGTTGTATTTTCTGATGGATATATAGTCCTTGGGAAAGTTCGACGGCTGACCCAGTTCANGTTGCCTTTTTTTTTTTTTTTTCTTGTTTGATTACTGCAATATTCATAGGTTTATTCCTTGCCTTCTAAATTCAACTGAGAAAACCTTCCTTTAATTCAAACCAATCGGTCTGAAAAATTTGTGTCTACTTTTTTCTTCTTTCTTTTCTTGTAAAGCTTCAAAACCTGTGGACACTTGTGAATCCGATCACGAGGTTACCGAGAAGTGTTCCAAAAGGAAGAGAAAAAATCAGTACAGAGGCATTCGCCAGCGCCCGTGGGGCAAATGGGCCGCTGAGATTCGCGACCCGCGAAAAGGCGTTCGAGTCTGGTTGGGTACTTTCAACACAGCTGAGGAAGCTGCTCGGGCCTATGATGCCGAGGCCCGAAGGATCAGAGGCAAAAAAGCAAAGGTGAATTTCCCGGGAGATGCAAACACGAGCCGTGCAGTTAAAACCGATCCCTCAAAACCACTCGTTAAGGAAAGCCCGAATTCTGTTCAGGCCGGCCCGAACCAGACCATGAATTTCTTCAACATGCTGAATGATGACTTGTACTCTGACTCTTTGGGCTTCCTGGAAGAAAAACCACAGATGAATCAGCTTGTTGGTAGCATAACAAGTGATATTGGGCTGAAACCACACACACCAACTACTGAGGGCACAAATGTCTATTTCAGCTCTGATCAGGGGAGCAACAACTCTTTCGAATGCTCCGACTTCACGTGGGGCGAAAACTGTGCAAAAACTCCTGAAATCTCGTCAGTCCTCTCGGCTATGATGGAGGACGAGCGAGCTCAGTTCGCGGAGAATGGTGGGCCCGCGAAGAAATCTAAAAATGATCTTTCGGAGTTTGATTCTCAGATGAAGCTTTTTCTCGACGGGAATTGGGAAGCCTCGATAGATGCTTTCATCAATGGGGACGGGAATAAGGATCTCTGGTCGTTCGATGATGTATCGGCCATGCTGGACGGGGCCTACTGAAGCTGGCTAGTGGTTCCTCTTTTTCTGCTGGCTGTTTTTTCCTGTAAATAAGATGATGATAAAAATATAATTACAAAAACTTCCCTGAGGTTCGAAAGTGATAAAAAGGGTAAAAGAATCGGGTTATCCTTCGAATTTACTTCCTCCCCTCTTTGGTGCTTGCTTTCGGGTCTATCTGAAATTTTCAAAAATGTATCTCAGGGTGGATTTTGGTAATCTGAGTTTGCTTCAATGGACTTCTGTTTTGGTTTTTCGATTGCTTCTGTGTTGGGTGTGTTGTTCTTCTTTTCTCTACTAAGTTGAGGATGGTTTTGAAGTTATCCCTTGTATGGATTTATGTACTTATGTTGCTGCAAACTTGTGCTTCCATCTGTCTATTTTTCTCCTCTCTCTTTGGTAAATTTCTATTTGCATGTTGATTACATTTTGTTTTGCATTGCACCTAGCATTTGAGGAAAGCTATTTTTATTCTTGAAAAGGTGCTTGGAGGTTTTTTTTTTTTAAGATATACTTCATTTATTTTTATTTTGCTATTCATCAACAAAATTTTTAAAATAATAACAAATCAAAAACTAATCATATTCGGAATAAATTTCGCAATTCATCTTAATTCATTTAAAATTGAGTAGGTCTTTTGTGAGACTGTGTTAGTCATATAATTTCATCTTAGACGATTATATTTTTCAAGAAATATATATGCTTTTATACTTAAAGATCATATTTCAAATAAATTTCAACTTACAATGATTCCCTTCAACTTGAATGATTTCTATTACTGGAATAAGACCAAATACTAGTTTTTATTTTACTTTAAGGTATGTGGTTATGTAATTATTGCAATAAGAAAGAAAATACTAGTATTTATTTCAATTTATAGGTATCTGTTCTCAATCATTGCAGTATATGAATATGATATGGAATGATGGATGGAAATATTTTAATTTCATATACTTGATGATTTTGATTTTATGTATAAGTTGAGTAGTTGAGGGAAGGTGGGAGTGGAGCTATCAGCTAGTTGTCGTGGACAAAACAAAACCAAGTGGTAGGTGAAAGATGAAAAATCGAAATCTATTTCCTATTTTTCAATTCTTGATGAAAAGATTATTGCTCTCATTTTTTTTTTTACTTTTTTTTTTTAATAATTTTAAAAGCATGTGACAAGTAGAGCTATTCAACTAACGAAAAGAGTCGTACGCGAGCTCGTTAAAATTTGATCTTGTTTAAAGTTCAATTCATTAACCAGCCTAACCTCGAGCTCAACCTGACCTATTTTACATCCCTAATAACAATTAAATTTTCTTAGGGGTTTTAGGGTATGCTTATTTATAAATTTATTCAATTCACACTTAAAATTTAACTCAACTTTAACTCAATTTTATTATATTCAATATTGTTAATAAAATTAAGTAATACAAAACAATCATTCTTATATGTCACATCAATTTTAATTCACTATTCATTCAGTCTAATTAGTCATCACTTGATATCATATCTCTCTTACTTTTACATCAAATTAATTTAAATTATTTTATTTTAAATATTATTTTATTATAATTTCTAAATTCCACTAATAACTAACCATATCAACTTTTTCAAAATTAACTCTGGTTAACAAAAAAAAAAAAAAAACTCATTTTGAGAGGATATATTTATATAAAAGCACCTCCTAATGTTTGAATCCCAAAAATGGGTCTAACTTTTATTTTTTGGGATCAACTAAAGATAAAACGAAACTCTTCAAAAAGATTTAATAGCAGTACGAAATTAAATTCTAAATTTATATGCCTGGGTAAGATTAGTCTAATGTCATTTCTGTGTTTAATAATTATCAATTCGGAATCCAATAAATTTAAAAATATCAGCTAATATTTTTATATAACACTAAAATTAACAAAGCAAAGATATAGTTATAAAAACATCAATTATGGAATATAAAAAAATTATGGAATATAAAAAATTATTATAAAAACATTAAAATTAACAAAAGCAAAGATATAGTTATTTATCTAAAATCTCCACAATAAATTTTTTGTATATTGGATTAAATCCTTTTAATAATAGAATGGACCTAGTTTAATTGCAATTCAATTAAGAATTCCACTTAATCTTTTTAATAAAAAAATGGCCCAGTTTAATTGCAAATCAATTCAGAGAAGAGATGAATAAATGAAAAACATCAGTCAATTTTGATTTTTTTGATAAGATTTTTGCGAAATATAGAACTTCTAATTGTTTTTGTTTTTGCATAAAATAGAAGTGAGCAGGATTAGGAATCTGAAATTACTCCAAACCACTACTTATTTGAACCAGATAGGACCAAATTCTGTTATCTTTACTCCTTACGTAGTGATTTCAAGTACTCCAATAACAAATCGTCTTCTCCAAACCACTACTTAATGACAACATGATGTGGCATAATATGGGTGATTGAGATACAAACAAATGTATGGTTAAGATTTGACTTAATGATACTTTTAACTAATGCTGTCAACTAATGTTATAAACAACAATTCTACATGTAAGATTACCCAAATATAAAGTATATATAATGAAGAGTATTTATTCCAACATAAATTCGCGTGCGAGACGGTATAAACATTGAGCAGGCCGACCCATCATATACTCTGAACAAAAGTCTCATATTAATGATATTATATTATCTTAAATATATCGACAAATTTCAATGAAAATAAACACATTTGTAATACGATAAAATACGTCTAATAGTTTTTGGTCAAGAACTGTCGTTTTTTGATAATTTTTGGAATACGATAAAAAAAGGCCCAACAGGAAAAAAAAAAAAGACATATATATGAAAATAATTTGCATCAAGAAAAAATAGTAGGAAAATTATTTGAAATTTTATGATTCATCTTAAGAAAAATGAATAACTATTCCAAATCAATCAACCAAACATTCTCCAAAATCCATGTTCCTTTATGAAAACCTGCATAAAGTTTGAGTATATATAAGGATATAAGATAATGTTAGAGCATGGGCTGGAGTTTTTCGTGTCAAAGTGCCTAAGATCAAGGTAATACTCAATTTCTCGCGACCAAAAACGTTCGAAAAACGTGTTTTGGTTGAAAGAGAGGGCGAAAAAAAGTAGAAGAGAAAAATAAAAGAAAAGAAAAGAAATATTTCTCATCCTTCATAGTTGCATGTACTCTATTAGCATTTGTTGTGCCTTTTGGTAATTACATACTAGTTGAATGGTAACACCAATCTGGATGTTATTCCATTTTAAGCAAGATTTGGGTAATTAGTTGTTAGTCACAAATCTGGAAGTTATTCCATTTTAACAAAGATTGCCAAATATTTTCTAACAAACATGATTAAGCCAAAAATGTGCATATAAATATATAGTTTTCTAAAAAAAGTGGACAGAAATGGGTTAAATTTTTTTCTTACTTTTTCATTGGGGAAAATCTCAATCTTATTTAATGGATTTCATATTGGGCCATATAACAAATTAAATAGGTCTAGCTAGCTACTATTTAGAGGAGCAACTCTTCCATAGGTTCAAATTATAAGAAGTCTCATAGACTAGCGAACCCACTAGGCCACTACAATTTACCATTCGCTCAAAAACATATTTATAGTTATAAATTATTGTTTTATTATTTTGTGTCATATCATATAAGAGATTTTATAATTTATATCACATCAGTTTACATATTAAAATCATTAGGGCGTGATTGTATATAATTTGTACAGTAAATATCCCATTTAAAACTTAAGTTTAATTCAACTCCACTATCTCCAATATTATCAATATAATTAAATAATATCAATAAATCATTATTACACATCACATCAACTTTAATTCACTATTCACCCACTCATATAATTTTAACTAACAATCACTTTCAATCATTTTCTCCTACTTTTACATCAAATCAACTTTAATTATTTAAATTTAAATTTTATTATTATTATTATTATTATTATTATTATTATTATTATTATTATTATTTTGCATACTAATATCACTATTAAGATTCAACATGAACAGCCTCTCCGAACATCACTCAAGAGAGGAGATAAAAAAGACGGGAGACAATCCTTCCAAAAATAAGGTCCCGTCAACGAGACCCACAATCTAAAAGAAACAAAAGCGATAATATGTCCGCAAAAACATGGTGCAACGGATTTTTTGGCGACATATCTAACAAACCACAAACAACTAATCATACTACTTTTATTTTCAAACTTAACTATAGTTAAAAAAAACTAGTTTTTTACTAGTTGAATTCATATCCAATCACCCCCTTAATCATCCCCTAAATCTTCCTTCACCAATATTAAAATTTCACCCATTGAAATACATCCAATTGCAGCCAACTTTTGGCGTTAATTCCTAGAAATTTGATTTAGCCATGTACTATCTACTTCTAAGTCTTATGGCAAATATTTGAATTTTGACTTCTAAAATTTGCCCTTTTGATTAAATCAGTGTATGGAACCTCTCTCCAGTCTTCGCTGTTAAAGTTNATAACTCTATTTTAAATAATGTTTGAAGTATTTGTTCTCCACATGGAGACAAGTTCAAGATGTAAGCAAACATAAGTATATAAAATAAGCATGACTGTGTAATATATTAATCATGCTAGTGGGGCTAGCATACGGGATAATCACAGATTCACATTTCACATGGAATTTTAGTTCTTATAATATTGGATAAAGATTTTCTAGAAAGTAGTATCCCTCCCTATATATTAATTCAAAACGTATTGAGCTTAAGTGGCAAGCTCACATGCTTCGGATGCTGACATGACAAAAATCTATGATTCGGAAAGTTGTTTGCATGTTAATTTTTTTTGTTTTGGAATTAGGCTTGGTATAGACATAAATAACTTTTTTTTCAAACTTGATAAGTGTACATTTAATTTTATTATTTTTTCTCTTAGTACAAATTTTTTTCTTAATTTGGGCAAGTAAAAATCTTACCTTCTTATAGTTTTCTTCCATATTTCTCTCATAAAATACGATTTACAAATCACTTTCTACACTGTATATTCCTCTTTTTTTTCATTAATTAGTCCATCAAAATTTTTAAATAAAATTTTTATTTTAACAATAACTTTTATAATATATTTTTTACTTCAACTACACAGTTTTGTACTAGTTATTTTAGTTCATAAAAATGTACTAAAATATTTTCTAGACAGGATATTGGATTTCAGCGAGAAAGTGATCTTATTGTGTTCACACCTTAACATGTTTTCCCATAAAAAACAAAATATAATTATTTGAGTGATTTACGAATTGGATTATGCGCCTGTTTAGTTATGTTAGGTAGCATCCAAATGCCATAATCTTTGCTTAAACTGCTATTTTAGGCGCTCAACCGATTAAACGTTGTCTCCAAGGGTTAGTCGGCTATTAAGTTAGTCAACCCGTAAACTGACGAGGCGCACCATTTAGGAGCCTTTTTCTATAAGAAAAATATTTAATTTAAATTATAATAAAATGAATAAATTTATTTTTTTGAATAAATGTACATCAGTTATAAATTAAAAAATAGTAATTGTATTAGAATTGATACAATAGATATGGATATATCATATTTTAGGTAATTAAGTAACTTTTAAATTATGTATAAAAATAAATATATTAATATTTTACCATACAAATCACTGCATTGTGAGCGTTCAACCATAATTTATTATTTATTATTTAAAAAATTAAACCCTACTAGGTAGCCCATGACATTTTTTCTGTATGAAGACATAATTTTTTTTATATGAATCAAAATCCACTTATTTTTATCTTTTTGTACTCTGATTTGGAATTTAATATTTGTTAATTGGATTTCACTAGGCTTGATATTGAATTTAGTCACATGAATTTGGAGATCCATTACTTATCTCCCTCGCTCACTTAAACATTATGATTCGAATGCAGTTGATTAATTAATAATAGTCCGTAGCTTCTAAAATTGATCAACACATGAATAATTATTGCTGGAATATCACATGCCCCGTCGAAAACGATTCAAAAATAATCTGTATTCTAAAAATATTTCAAAACAAGTCCAAAAATTTTGAAATTTATTAACTTGAAGACATTTTGAGCTAATAATATAAAGAGAGAATAACGATCCATCTCACGCAGATGTGATATTTGAGCGGGTACCTCATGTTTAGGGCTGCAAATGAGTCGAGTCGGGTCGAATATTGGCCTTATCGAGCATAATTGATTTATTTTTTTGTAACTGTTCTTGATTTTTTAGGCTCGAATTCGACTCGATAAAATATTACAATAGCTCGAGCTCGGCTCGAGCTCGACTCAAAATCAAAATGCTCGAGCTCGGCTCGAGTTCGACTCGAAAATTTTTAAGTGGAAAAGTAAAATTACCATTAAGGACCTATGCTAAAATATATATAAAGGGGTATTTTAGTTACATGTCTCTCGAGCCGCTTGACAAGGCAAAATATGGGCTTGAGCTCGACTCGAGTTCAATCTCGAACCGCTCGATCTCAACTCGAGTTCGGTCAAACTCGATCTCGAGTCGAGCTTTGACTCAAACACTAGCGAGCGGCTTGCGAGCCTCTCGGTTCGTTTGCAGCTCTACTCATGTTCGTTTAATAAATTAAGAAACTTTACCAAGTTGTTCGCAAACATTAAATGTCCGTTCGAGAAACAAATTAGACTCGAATATTTTAATTCGCGAACAAGCTTGACTGATTAGTTTAATGAACGAGCTCGAGTAACTGGTCGAGCTCAGCTCCTTTAAATAATAAAATGAGTCAAGTTCAACCCTTTCACAACCCGAACTGAGCTTTGTTCGTGAACTGTTTAGCTCAAGTCTCATGCACGATTGCTATTAAATTAAACCAACATGGCTTCGCAAGGCTCGAGTTCGACTCAAGCTCGAGGCCGTAAGGAGTCAAGCTCGAGCTCATTTAAAGCTTGTGAGGTTAATGAATCGAGCTCAGTTCAGCTCGAGAAGGCTCGAAAAGAGAATTTTTATAAAATTTTCTATAATTCGATTCGTTAAAGCTCGAGGTCGGCTCGTTAATAATGATAAACGAGCCGAGCTCGAACTCGATTTTTGGCTCGTTTATTTAACGATCTGAGCTCAGCTCGGCTCGTTAAGGTGCTCGAGCTCGGCTCGGTTTATTTACATTTTACAGGGCTATGCCTGACATAGGAGCTTACCTAATGTAATATTAGTCCAATATATTTAAATTGATATCAAAAAGATTATGAAATCTTCAAATGTGACAAAGGTAAGATATTCCCTCCACAGCCTGTCATAACCATAATTTTTGTACCACAAAGTCCAAGAAAGTCAAAACAAATTTTCACCCAAAGTCAAACCCATTTATCATAACAGTTAGCTCACAATTGATACACAATCTTGTGATGAAGACATAAAACACACACACACAATTACACACTCAATTACCACTATATATTATTGCTCCTCTTACTCCTTTTCCACACATCGTACCAC